TTGACTGAACCTCGCTCAGTTGCTAGCTCCGTCTTGTTCGTCTATGATTATTTTCTAACCCTGGGGATGGAGATCAATNTCATATGGTNTTCGCCATGGACGCTAACGAAGGCGATATACCTTGTTCAGCGGTATTTGCCCTTCATTGACACCGTTTGGCTTTGCCTCCATCGTAAGTCATTCCGTCCAATGGGCAGTAAGGCAGCTAAATGGTAGTTTCTAGACCAACTTGGTAGCGGATTAGATCAGTCTATATGCTTCGACATGTACGCTGCCAGCACTTGTACGCCGTCCCTACTTAATCTTCTGCAAAATTATTTATGATTCCATTATAGGGTTTTTTTGTATCGGCATATGTGCTTCAGAACGTGGGTGCAGACAATCCACGTTTCAAAAGGCTACTCAACCAAAATTACAGTTATTCTGACCATGCGGTGCTGGGCAGTTTGGCATAGAAGTCGAACCCTGTCCATTTTTCTTCCAACTTTTTTCGCTTTGGCGTTTATACCGGACGTTTATATCACGAACAAAGTTCTCAAGTCTTTAACGTGTGAGGACCCACATCTCTTCAGTGTTTCCTTGCTAACGAATATGTCTAGTCGGAAAGTTACCATACCCAGAGTTTGTGGGCTGTTTCGTAACTGGCTCCAATAATCTCCAGTTGTGGGTTTGGGTCATCCTGATGATCTATGAAGGGGGTATGGTGATCCACTCCCTTGTCGTCGTACATTTGACGCATGTGTTATTATCCAGGTATTGTCACTCTAATGCTCATTCCCGGATTCCGCGCATGTAAGTATTTCTTCTAAGAAAAACCTCCTTTTATTTACTCCGCATGTGCAGATCAAAGAGGAGGAGATTCAGCCCTCGTTACTATCGTTTACCGTGACGGTATGTACGCGCGTCAGCTTCAAAAATTTGAGCTTGATTTTCCTACTTCGCCTTTCAGGTGTTTTGTATTATATTGCAATTTTCGGTAAGAGCCAAATCGTACATAAGAAGGAACACTCTATGACATTCATCGTAGTTTATCCATCCTCAACATAT